TCAGTTGTCGTTTTAATGGCATTTGTCATCTTATTGTGTTTTCGTCCCATTTAACTAGCACCTCTATTGAAGCTGTACTTCGCCTCTGCGTAATATTTTTCTCTGTTTTGTTTAAATATACTCGTAATATTAGTCCGCCGTTTTATATAAAGAGCTTGTCAGGAGTGCAGCCACTATTTAGACAGCCGCGTATTCATACTCGTCAGTATTTAGACAAATACTGTATGAACCAATCAAAATCGAGAAAAGACATAAATAATCCAAAATAAATCATAATTACTTTTTAATTTCTTCTTTGTCTCGATTCTGATTGGTTGAAACAGTATTTGTCTAAATACTGACCAGTCTGAATACGCGGTTGTCTAAATACTGACATGTAACCAGCTTGTCAGTACCGTGTATGGTTTTGGTTTGAGCCATGAAAAGCGTTTGATTGGTATCTTATACACGATTTCTGAGATATGCTGAAGTACCAAAAATAAAGTGACGGCATGCTCGTCATTATTAAAAATAGATCATTTTTACTAAAACTCGGTGCGACATAATTACTCGAAAAAACAAATGTCGACATAAGTTTGTCATATCTATTTGCGATCAAAACATAAAATCACATAACATGTGCTAAGAATTTTTGTTAAAAAAATGGGAAACATCAATAAAAATGTAACTTTAATTATTGAAATACTTGAAACTGGTACGATTCAAATATGCTCTCATGTATTTCTCAGAAAATGAACACAAATTTATAACTCTAACTGTAACTTCAACTCATAAAATCAAATAATAACCTAAAATCAAATGATTTGACATTTCTTCTTTTACCAAAATTTACCATCTCGTTCAAATTTATCAAAATTTATTATCTCAGTTCAACTTTATTAGACTTGGGGATAGACTTGAAAAAATTCCGCAGGTTAAACAAATCAAAAAATCAATTGTAAGAAGCTCGATTTGAAAATTATTATTTAAATGTTTTAACTTGCCGAAAAAAAAGATTTATATTAAAATTTGAAAGAAAAGTTAGAAAGTAATTTAAAAATTGTCAGTTTAATCGAAGACTTTAAGCGCGAAATGGTACATTTATATGTTGTTGGCTGCGGCGGAGTTGGAAAGACGACTATCATTAACGAATTGGCTAAGCAAGAACCCAAAAGGAAAGTTCAACCCTGATATACGAGCAGTCTTGTTAGATTTAATTCGTTTCAAGTGATATTTTCTTGAAGAATTTTTTGGATGCCTGGTTTTCTTCCAAGTTGCCGCCGGTTCATTTTTCGGTGTTTGAAATATTATATCGAAAAAAGAACCGGCGGCAACTTGGAAGAAAACCAGGAATCCAAAAAATTCTTCAAGAAAATTATCACTTGAAACGAATTAAAGCTAATTACTACGAAATGATGGTAGCTTTAATTACGAAATTGAGCATGTTAATTTTTTTTTACTAAGTTGAAAGCAGTAGTTTGTAAGTTAACCAAGTCTGAGTTTGAAATTTTTTTATTTTATTTGAGTAATTTCGAAGGGAAAACAAATGCTTATGCAAAAAATATGCCAAATATTTCACAGGAAAAATTTTCTTTCATCAGGACTCGATGAACATAGTTCAGTTTCTTGTATAGGTGCTAATGATTTTTCATGGTTTTTTTCAGGAAAAATCTTCAGGCTCAAATTTACTTTTTCGCGTTTTGACTTATGATTTTTTCAGCTCCAGTTCAGCTCATTTCCTTTGTCAAAAGGACGGCGAATTCCTTATAAAGTCTCAAAAAAAGTGATCGACTTCTAGTTTCGAAGTGGAATATAATTTTCAGATTTCCCAGCTTGCAAATAGTGTTCATTAAAAGTGTTCATTTATTTGAAAAGTTCACTGTAGCCTTGGAAATTACATAGCATCTTTCTCTGCTATTTTTGTGGCTATGGTTTCTCACCTATTAAGTGTCCGCGGTTGAGTGGTTGTTGTATGAGACTCTTAATCTCTAGGTCGCAGGTTCGAATCTCACACGTAGCTGAATGTTTACTACTTCGAGGCTCATTTCTAATTTTTCTTATTTCGCTTTATAGAGCTGCTTTTTGTCATGTTCTCGCTAGTATTTTCAAAGTGAAGCTTCGCTTCTGTGCCAATTGTTTTTTTTTACAAAATAATGGCCGTCGTCGGGAAGGTCAAATAGTTGGTTTTTTGACAGCTTTTTGAAACTTATTTGAATTTTCTCGAAAACTAACCTACCAAATCTGAGATTTTCGGTTCAATGAAGAGAAAAGGTTGCGGGAAGCTTAGTTTTCAGTTTTTTTTAACCTGTTGACGAAACGAGGGTCTGATGCTACGCGAGCTGCAGTTGATTACCAAAACGATTATCGTCCTCATAAAAGTCATAGCTGTGATTTTTTGACCTTAGCTGTTATTTGAAGCTTTTTAGTCTTGTCTCGTAAACTGCCCTCCCTAATCTGAGATTTTTGGTTCAATCAAAAGAATTAGTTGTGAGAAATTGCCTTGATTAAGAGGCTACGACAAAAATTTTCGACAAAAAAAGTTGTGGCCCTCGGTAAATTCAGATTTTTGATTTTTTCATCGTTTTTTTTTTGAATTTCCTCGAAAAAAAACAGCGGAATCTGATATTAAGCGTTTAATCGAAGCCTCAGGTTGTGTAAAGCGTCCGCACATAAGCGGCTACGCCCTAAATTGGGTTGAAAATAGTTTGTTCTGGGGAAAATTCCGATTTCTAAAAAAAATTCACTAACTATTTCACTCTTCCGTATTTTCTTAGAAAAGCCACTAAGGTTTTGGGTGAAGCCCAATTTCCGATTGAAATCATTTCATCCTCAATCAAGTGGACAAAATCTAAAGAAGTCAAGTTGATGCTCTTAGACGGGCTCCTAATACTATAATTGCAAGTTGATGTGGTTAGTAAATTTACCTGTTCAACTCTAATTTTGAATAATTTATTTTTTTGTTATTCAAGATCGGCTGTTGTTATATCGGCTTTGTTAACTTATGTTGCGTAGTTTCTCGGGCTAAACTTTTAAAATACTTTTTGCATGTTTGAGGGTGATGGGTCGTAAAAATTTTGGTTAAAATAATTTTGTAGCTTGAATTTTTTGTATGACATTTTCGACTCAACGAGGGTTGACCAATATTTTTTTCGATTCTTTAGTCAATAGCTCGTTGATTCTAAGGCTGTTGATAAACCTATGATCAGACAATGATTTGAAATTTTTGTAATATGGTTTTTGACGACATTTTTAAGTCATTTTTTCGGCCTAATTTTCTATTCTTTATCTTTTAATACAATATTTGGGTCTTTTTTTTATTCCGCCCAATTGTTTAACTTTTCTAGCACGCTGAACTCTGCAGCTTGCTTGAAATTAATCTGACCAGGTTACCAAACAATCTCTTTTTTGACCAATTCGGCTTATTTATTAGTCGAGTTACAATTGTAAACGAAATATTTTGCGATGATGCTCATATTTGACTGGCTAATTCTAGCCGATCAGGTTGAAGCAAAATTGTTTTGATTTTTGGGCGGAATAAACACAGAGGCGAAGTTGCGTTTCGCATACACAATCAAAAATATGACCGATAACGCTTCTGGGAAAAACTGAATGAGCCAAACTTTGAGTCTACAAAATTTCTTAAGTGACGCACGCCAATTATGAGTCTACAAAATTTCTAAGTGACGCTAGCCAATTATGACACATTAGCAGTACCAGTCAATTTGAAAAAAAAATTGCCAACTAACGTGCCTCAATTTATAGAGCGGAAGCATTTAAGCTAGTATACGAAAAAGTTCTAGTATACGAAAAAGCTAGTATACGAAAAAGAAACATCCGACGCTGACCAGGTTCGACCCTCTTATTTTGTTGCGGGTCTCCTTCCCTATGTCTACCCTAGAAATCCATGATACCTTGAAGCTAAAGTGCAATTTGTCATATAATAGTCTGTGTTAATATCTTTAGCATTGGCTGTACTTAATAGCTGGATCAAAATGACACTTTCAAAATGAACGCATTTCGTCGCGACAATTGCATCGCAACAATATTTGCGACTTAGGTTGGAAAAAAATGAGTTTATACTATTACCTAAGCTATACAGGGGTAAAGATCAACCGTACAATCTGCCCACTAAGTGACCCACCGAAGAATGCTCTTCCCAAGCATGGATTAACTTTAAAAAATAAGTGTTTAAAATATACATTTCATACAAACCCGCAAATAAAATTGTTTTTTTTTTTTACATTTTCTATGGGGGATTGTATTTTCATGCTGCTAATTACCTAGATTAATGTTTTACTACAATTTGTTTTTAGTGATACGGATAATTTGGAGCGAATCTAGGCACACTCAAAGTTAGCTTATGAAAAATCCAACTTTTCTCCCCAATAAATCGATTTGGGGGCGAATTGTACGGTCGATCCCCTAAAGCGAATTGTACGGTTGATCCGGAATAAGTATAAACAGTTTAAATCTCAGTTGTCGTTTTAATGGCATTTGTCATCTTATTGTGTTTTCGTCCCATTTAACTAGCACCTCTATTGAAGCTGTACTTCGCCTCTGCGTAATATTTTTCTCTGTTTTGTTTAAATATACTCGTAATATCAGTCCGCCGTTTTATATAAAGAGCTTGTCAGGAGTGCAGCCACTATTTAGACAGCCGCGTATTCATACTCGTCAGTATTTAGACAAATACTGTATGAACCAATCAAAATCGAGAAAAGACATAAATAATCCAAAATAAATCATAATTACTTTTTAATTTCTTCTTTGTCTCGATTCTGATTGGTTGAAACAGTATTTGTCTAAATACTGACCAGTCTGAATACGCGGTTGTCTAAATACTGACATGTAACCAGCTTGTCAGTACCGTGTATGGTTTTGGTTTGAGCCATGAAAAGCATTTGGTTGGTATCTTATACACGATTTCTGAGATATGCTGAAGTACCAAAAATAAAGTGACGGCATGCTCGTCATTATTAAAAATAGATTACTAAAACTCGGTGCGACATAATTACTCGAAAAAACAAATGTCGACATAAGTTTGTCATATCTATTTGCGATCAAAACATAAAATCACATAACATGTGCTAAGAATTTTTGTTAAAAAAATGGGAAACATCAATAAAAATGTAACTTTAAATATTGAAATACTTGAAACTGGTACGATTCAAATATGCTCTCATGTATTTCTCAGAAAATCAACACAAATTTATAACTCTAACTGTAACTTCAACTTATAAAATCAAATAATAACCTAAAATCAAATGATTTGACATTTCTTCTTTTACCAAAATTTACCATCTCGTTCAAATTTATCAAAATTTATCATCTCAGTTCAACTTTATTAGACTTGGGGATAGACTTGAAAAAATTCCGCAGGTTAAACAAATCAAAAAATCAATTGTAAGAAGCTCGATTTGAAAATTATTATTTAAATGTTTTAACTTGCCGAAAAAAAGTTGATTTATATTAAAATTTGAAAGAAAAGTTAAAGTAATTTAAAAATTGTCAGTTTAATCGAAGACTTTAAGCGCGAAATGGTACATTTATATGTTGTTGGCTGCGGCGGAGTTGGAAAGACGACGATCATTAACGAATTGGTTAAGCAAGAACCCAAAAGGAAAGTTCAACCCAAAAGAATTTACGAAGTTGCCCGGAAACTTCTGAAAGACAAAGGCAAATCTGGTGTAGAACTGACCTCAAATCAAAATCTTTTCTGGAGTTTTCAATCTCTTGTAATCCAAGAGCAGTTACGACGGGAATCAGAAATCGAAGCGAGGCAGAAACTTTTTTCGGATCGATGTTTTCTGGACGCAATTATTTACGGACTTACGTTCTTCCAAGATAAGTTCAATCAACGTGTTTTTAATAGCCTCAAATCTCTCAAGTTCATGCCCAACTCTCCCTTAAAAAACTTAAAAGTTGAGATCTTATCTCCGTTCTGCAATAATGATGGCGTTTCCATTGATACTATGCTAACTGCACTTGAACGGTACCGGAGGTCTCTTATTGTACTAGTTCACCCTTGGGGTTGGAATGGAACGGGTAAAGACGCCTTGGTAAACGATGGAACCCGCAAAAGCATGACCTCTAATGAAGTAAATGAATTTACAGAGTTGTACGAAAGTGTTTTGATACTATTCGAAGTACCCTTTGTGGCTTTGAAAAGCAAAGAATTGTCGCATCGTGTCAAACTTGTGCAGGATTTGCTTAGCGGAGTTTCTGAGAACCCTTTTGGACGATTGGCACTCAACGAAAAATTGACACATCCCAAATTGGACAAAAAAGGGCAATCGGAGATTTTGGAAAAAGAGGTAAAACAGTTTCATCGGCATTTCTACCTTCCCAAGCCAAGCGACCAAAAATCGGATAAAGAAGTCCACAAAATTCAACTCCCGATGATAACGATTTTACCGAATATTATAAAACAGTCGTGGACCACTTTGGACCCTGGAAAAGTGAATAGGATTGTTGATAAATATGGTGTTGGAGATCTGTTTTTGGTCCAATTTGACATATCAGTTGAGCCAGTAAAGGTCGAGTTTATTCTACAAAAGGGGGTGAAAATAAACGGCGAGATTTTCTCGTTTCTGGGTTGCAGCTCGGGTGGTTTGAAAGAGCGAAAGTGCTACCTCATTAGGGGTGATAATTTGCATGCTGAGAAAATAAGGAACGAAAACGGAAATTTCTCCAAACTGAAAACTGTCGCAAAACGAATAGCGAGGTTTTCACTCCTGCTTTCAAATGTCAAGAAAACTGGCATCAAAATCAGAGACGATCAAGTTTTAAGCGAAGATGATATTGAAAGAAATGAATTGAACTTCACAGACGGCTGCGGGGCAATAGCTTTAGAATTAGCAAGGGACGTTTTCAAGGACGTCTACAGGCAAGAGAAAGAGGATTTGAAGAAATCGAGCGAATTCCAACTCGAAAAAAGAATGTTGAAACACTTGCAGACGAAAGTGTTCGACGTCGGTGCTTCAACTTTGCATTCATGTTACAATAAAACGAACTGCCCATCGGTTCTACAGATCAGGTTTCAAGGGTGCAAAGGCGTTTTGGCCCTGGATAAAAATCTAGGGTCCTTATTCGTTCGAGGTAGTCGAACGAATTGGGAATCGGACGCTGAAGCTCGTGCAGATGACGCGGTTAAAGTCCTTAAAATTCGACCTTCGATGAGAAAGTTTGAAACTAGTTCGTTTCCGTTCATTTGCGTGTGCGATTACTCGAAGCCTTATACGTTCGGTCATTTGAACCGCCAGTTCATTCGACTCTTATCCTCTCTTGGGGTTCCAGACAACGTTTTTCTGCGCAAACAGGAAGATCATCTCAAAAGAGTCAAAAACATGACTTCGAATCTTGAAGACGCCTTAGTCGTCCTTCAATGGCAGAAAAAGTTCCATTTAGCCGAACTGCTGATTTGGTATCGAAAGCAAAAGGAGCAATCAAGTCTGGCAAAAGATGATAACGATGACAAAGATTGCAGTTTAAACGAAGTATGGACCTTCATTGAAAAACAGCTGAAAGACGTTCAGCGAAGAATCGTTTCTCAAGGTCGCAAAGACAAAGTAGACGCTCCGAATCTCAAGGTTCCTGGCGCTACAGAATCAGTTGATAACTCCAAATTTGGGAAGAAAGCGGAGAAACTGAAGCTACTGATTCCCGAATCTCGAACCCTTTTCGGAATATGCGAACCAACACAACTCGGTCAGAAAACATTCAATTTGAAATACGGCGAGTGTTTTGTTCGAGTAACTGTCAACGGCAAACCGGAAACCATCGTGGGTGATGTCGTCGTCTCGAAAAATCCCGCCTACCTGCAGGGAGACGTGAGAGTGTTGCATGCTGTGTCATATCCGGACTTGGAGCGATATGACCTGTTAGTAGATTGTATTGTTTACCCTGTTGTCGGTCCAAGGCCTCATTCGGTCGAAATCGCCGGAAGTGATTTGGATGGTGATGAGTATTTTGTATGCTGGGACCCATATCTGATACCTCCAAAAATTGTGGAACCCTATGGATATCCTGCGTACGAGGCAACCACTTCTAGGCAGGACTTACAGACTAACGCTTTAAGTGAACAAGAAGGACTTCAAAAAGATGTTCAAGAAATGGTGAAATATTTTTCAATTCAGAATGTGGCTCAGAAAAAAGTGGGAAGAATTAGTTCGCTCTTTGATAAATGGGCTGACAGAAAAGGCGCGGGGTCCGATGAATGTGCACAATTAGGTCAGCTATTTGCTCGAGCGGTTGATTCGGCTAAATCAGGGGAAAAAATCAACATCCACGAGAATTTAGAACTACACGATGATGAGGCTGTAGACGAAAGGTTTGTTTGGCAGGAAATGTCTTCTATCGGGTATCATTTTTCGCTAGAAAATTCTAAGGTCATGTTAGGTGATTTGAAGGATTTGTCCGAAGAGTTTCTCCTTGGATTTATTTCGGACCGAAACTCCAACTTAACCGAATTCGAAAAATTTTGCCTAGTCATGGATTATTTGTTTGTAAAAAACGATTCTACTGAAAATGCAGAAAAGTTTGCATTCGAATTTTTCTCGAAGAGTTCATTTGCTGAGGCTATCAATTTCGGCCTTTTTCGCTCGTATGAAAAAGGAAGAGCTATCAGCGAATTCAAATTTCCTATTCATTTTGTCATGAACTCTCTGCCCTGGAAATCGAGAATTCTCACATCCGAACAAATGTTGACAAGTTTCACTGAAAAGTTCAACTTTCACAACGAAAATGCGTTTCCATGGGAACTTTATTTTCACTGGACAAGCGGAGAAAATTGGCAAACTGAAATAAAACTACAGGAACTGGTCGTCCGAGCAGTTGACGGGTTTTCCGACGTTCTAATCGCTCTCCAACTTCCCGATGATGTATGTTTTGTGCTGCGATTTCAACGAAACTCAAACCTTAGGATCTTGCAGCATCAAATTGGCGGGAAAATTTCAATCAAGGACAAACTGCTTTCAGAATTGGGTACCGAAGTATCGTGTTATTTTTACTCCGGTGGGTTCAATTATGCAGATCGATACCAAATGACGGAAGCTAAGTTGAACTTCAAAGTTGATTTCGAGAACAATGTATTGCAACTTTATCGCGGATCTAAACAAGGGACATTTCTTCAGTTCAAAATGAGAGAACAGCCTGTTCCATCTAACAGGCGAAGCAAGATAAAGGGACAAAAACAAGATGACGATTTAGGCCAAATGCACAGTATTTCAGTTGACCTGACCAGTTTTCCTGTTATTAATAGGTCAAATACGAGACACCCTTTGGTCCGAAAAGTTCCCGTAACTGCCATAGAGACTTTTGTTTTCAACCGAAAAGATAAGAATTTTAGTTCAAATTGCAGGCCTGCTGTTTCGTATTTCGACATCAACGAATATAGGATAGAAAAATCAATCAACGAAATGAAATCCGAAACTTCATCTTTTGAATGTTTTGTGGACGATATGAATGTGAACTATAAAGAGTTTGAGAAAATCTTACTCGAAAGCAAGTTAGACAGTCTCTTTGGATCCGCAAGTCCTGATGATGTTCGAAAGGTGGCAGACGTGGACAACCTATTTAACTTTTTCGAAACTGTAAGTTTTGAATTAAAGACGAAATCCCTATGCTGGCGGGTAGAACAAAAGCTGCAGAACATTTTGGACAAATTTAAAGAAAATTTTGCGCTTGATTTCACAGTGCTCGTAAAAATTATTCGCATTGTGAGTGGACTTGGTTTTTTAGAACTTACGAACTATGTGCTCGGAAGAATTGTGGAGGAAAGTCAGAACAAATTAAACATAGGACATATAAAATCGCCGGTTAACCATTTATGGCGATTCTGCTCGGACTGGAAACTGATCGCGTGCGATTTTTCTCTTGATGCAAGCAAAGTTTCAATGAGGCTGAACACAATTTTAGACTTGAACTTGATTGAGACGTCTAAACGGGACGCTTATGTCTTTCGAATGATAAAGCGCGAATATGCATCTCTTGGTGAGGAGTTCTCAGAAAAACGAAAGCAGTTAAATTTCGCAATAAATGCCAAAACGGGAGTGATTCAAAATTCAGTGCTAAAACGAGATAATTCAGAATCAATCGGGAGTCTTAAAATCCAAGCTTGTAGAACTACATCAAATAATTCTGCTGCCAATATTAATGACTCTAGAGAAAAGACGGGTGCTCCGAATGGTAGCAAAAATGTCGAAAAAAACGAAGTTACTTTTTACAAGCTCGATGACATGAGTTTAATGTGGCCAAGACAGTGGATGGGAAAATACGTGATGGTTCAAATTGACAAATCGGACAGAAAAATTGATAAAAAGAATCACCAAAGGCCTCAGCATGTGTGGAAGAAAAAAGGGCTGAAATTTTGTTGGTCTGAACATGAAAACGACGGCGAAATTGAGTCAAACAGCGGCGGTACTGGTGACTTCAAAAATGGTTTTGACATGAACAATGCTGATTATCCTAGCCTTTCCGAGGCATCAGAAATAGAGAAATCAGGAGTTGCCCCGCCTTCGAGAGATGAAAGAGCAGTGAACCAAGAATCCTGCTCTGAAGGTATTGCATGTTTAGGAAGAGTTACCAAATTTCAGCGTGTTCCATTCTATGTCACAGTCGAAATAGTCTCACCGACTGATAATTTCAAAACATCAACCAATAAAAGACCGGAAAAGAATCTGTGCTGTAGAATTATGCAGAAGTGTGTTGAAGGCGATGATATTGGAGTGAAATGGCGTCTTACTCTGGTCCAGGCTAATGTAGTGACGTTTTCGCGAGTGATGGATGCTTTGAAAACACTAATGTGTACCAAAAATGAAAATGATTTGTCAAAAGAAACCGCTCCAGTTGCCGAAGTTACCCAAGAAAACGAAGAAACAACAGAAAATTCTGAAAACAAAACAGAAAAGAAGTTTACAAAGCAATTTGACGATTCACTTGTTCCTTTCATAGTTTGCTCAGACGATCAAGAAGCTATGAAAGAAAAGATACCTGCTTTGAAAACATCGCATCTTGGAGTTGAGGGTGCATTTGCGAAAGATTTGAACGAAAGCCAGAAATTGGCGGTAAAAATAGCAAGAGAGAATAGGGTTTCATTAATTCATGGCCCGCCCGGCACTGGGAAATCAACCACAGCTTGTGCCATAGTTCGAGATGTTTTAGCAAATTTCGATTTCCAGAAAGTTCTAGTCTGCGCTGAAACTAATCTTGCGGTTGACAACTTGGTTTTGAAATTCTATGAAACTTGCCATAATGAAGCTCAGATTGAACCAGAAGTTCAAATCTTAAGACTCAAATCGCGCGAAGAGAAAGATTCGCACCGCGGTTTAGATGCCGAAAACATCGATCTAGTCAATAAGTTTTCACTCGAATCAAAACTCGTCGAAAGATCTGAAGAAAGAATCACTTCACGAGAAACCAATTATTTAACGAATAAGCAGAAGAAAATTGTTAAAGAAATTTTAGACGAATCTGTTGTAGTTTTCACAACTTGCGCAGGAGCAGGCGACCCGCTTTTAAACAACCTCAAATTTGATTTCGTCATTATAGACGAAGCAACGTTAAGCCGAGAAGGGACTACGCTTTGTGCATTGCAACATGGCTGTTCGCACTTTGTGCTAATTGGCGACCCAAATCAACTTGGACCTGCCAATCAAAACGCAGACTCGAAACTAAAAACGGCTGAAAATTTGAATGAAGATGAAAACTCTTCACAGGAACTGAGACAACACGACACTTTTTTCCACAAATTTTACGCGATGCCCGAAGTATTTCCAGTTGCGTTTTTAGACACACAACATAGAATGCATCCTAAGTTAGCGGCTTTCCCCAGCAAAGAATTCTATGATTCGAAGCTGAAAACTCCACAAGGGTTTGAAAACAAGCGCTTGCTGAAACTTGGCGAATTTTTGGATCAAAACCCTGCGCAAAAAATCTCGGAGCTAATTTGGTGGCCAAGTTCTGAAATGAATTCAAAATTAAAAGAACCTCTTTGTTTCGTAAATGTCGCTGACGGCCAAGAAAATAGACAGGGTACTTCTTGGTATAACGAGCGAGAAGCGATTGTCTTGGCCAATATTTGGGTACAGCTCATTCTTAGCGGAACTGTCAAGTGTTATCAAAAGGTTGGCATTATAACATTATACAGCGGACAAGTTTACAAATCGCGCGAGATATTTACGAAAGTTATTAAGAACTTACGAATCGACTATCCGAAAGCTGACTTTGAGAAATTCCCGACAAATTTGCCCGAAATTAACTCGGTCGACTCATTTCAAGGGCGCGAGAATGACGTTATAATTGTATCTACAGTTCGTACCGGGTTGAATTTGGGTTTCAGTGGAGATCGAAATCGCCTTAATGTTTTGCTGACCAGAGCGAAAAAAGGTCTCTGTGTTGTGGGAAATCAAGGTGCTCTTCAGAACTCGGAGGAGTGGAACAAATGGCTCAAAGAAGTTTGTATCATCGACAGTGCTCAAATTAAATAGTGCTCATAGATAGAAGAGAACTAGTTTTTAGAACTGGCTTTTGAAGAATCATTTTGTCGAATTCTGATAATTGTAGTAAAACAGTATTTAGAAATTTATTTATAATTTTAAAATCATTTCAGAAATTACATATATTTCCTAATTGTATTTGAAGTTTCAATTGTACAGCTCTATCAAATTGTGATGAGTGAGAGTTATCAGGTAATTCAATTTTTATTTAGACAAGTTTCTAATCACGGAGCGAGTTTCAATAAAAGTAGTAAAAGACTTCAGTTTTTCCATTGATGAATCAGTAAAAATGTGCTAGCATACAATCAAACTTCTTATGAAAATATGACATCGGCATTTCAAAGACCACGTTTAAGAAATGTATAAACTCTTAATTTGATATGAACAACCTAAATGTAAACGTTCGAATCGGTTTTCGAGAATTGTATTAAGTCTATATTATTGTGACACGGTTATTCAACCCTGAAGATACTCATTACCCATAAATTACCTAGAAGTAAGGTTTTTTGACAATTTTCCTGGTTTCAGCTTCGTATCAATAGTTTTTGATGGAGACTAAGTTTCAAAATGATTTGTAAGGCTAAATTTTTTGAAACTGATTTACTCAAAGCTCTGAAATTATATGAAAAATTTTATCTCCTTCTTGATGCTTCTCGTCAATGCTACTTTTCCAATCAAACGTACTTTTTCCTCCCTGAAAAATGTAAGTGTATTTTACCTTTTGGCTCAACTGGTTTCTCCGCATTTATCATAGCTGGTATCATCAAAATAAGTTGTCATAGTATTGTACTTACAGGTTGGAGATAAAAAGTCAAGGAACTGGAAGCTTCTATGTAATTGGCGTAAGTGTTAATCTGTTTTCGCTTTTGAAATAAGTTTCCAAGTTCAAATTTTTGGCATCTACAAGGTCTAATAGTTCTGTTTTTAAACCATTTTAGTTACAACATAACATTTTAATTTCAACGTAACTAAAACTTCAAGTTTTGCAATTACTTGCGACGTTTTTAGCAATTTCATTGCGATTTTTTTGTTTTTTTTTGCGATTTTTTGTAATTATTTTGGAACCTAGCATTTTTGAGGTTTTCTTAAATTTGGGTAAACATAATTTTCGGTTCCTGAATTCTCGTGATAAGAGTCTTCAATCTAAAAATTCCTATCGCATTTATTGGCCAGACCAATTATTGTTTGCACGTCATATTGAAACTTTTAGTTATCTAAATCAAAGTGCAATTTTAGATCGTTCCAAAAATTTAAAATCGAGTTTCTGATATTAAAGTACTTGGCTGACAGTTTTCAAAAATTATGCTAGCCGCAGTTTCTCTAGAGCTAAAAACAGATGAATGTTACTGGGAAGACTGAGTTTGTTCTGAGATCTCCAGTTGTTTTCGAGTTAGTCATTATTACAAAGTGCAAAACATTCACAAAATGTGTGGGTGTTTTTACAAAAATGCTTCCGTCTTCGTTTCGCTTTTCTATTCAAAGTGCAAATTGGTGTCGGTATCAAACTTACTTCTACTGGTTGTTTTACCTACATGAACAAAATTTCTCGTAATTACCACTGTACATAACAAACATACATTTGTCAGATTGTCATCAAATCTGCTGCCACTTGGTTTTATAAAAGTGCAAATAAAAAAAGTATGCTTGATCACTTTCAAATTATTAAGACAAAGTTTTGTATGCGTTGGTGGTTTTATTGCTGAAATGTAGAAACAAATAAATAACAGAAATGTTATCAGAGAATGCAGTACGAAAATTCTGTTCAAGGATACAGAGGACCGAAGTCACTTCAGGAGAATTGCTTACCGCAAATAATAGGTTCCTTGTGATCCCATCAAAATTTTGCAATCTAAGACAGACTTGTTAACGGGCCGCCATAATTGAGGCCCGGCCCGGCCCGGCCTGATATAATTCAAGTCGAGCCCGTTGGCGGCCCGATAAACAGGGAATTTATTAAATCTCGGCCCGTTGCTGCTTTTTTGGTAAAAAACAAATTTGTTTCAAAACAATTTTAATTAATTGTTTTACTTATTTATAAAGACCTTATTTATAATGGCACATGCAGTCAAATTGTGCTTCTTCGTTGAACGTAGTAGTCATGTCGTTTGGCACACTGCAAGCTGTACAGTGCGCACTGAAACATAACATTGGTTAGTCAATAAAAGTAAGGCCCGTTGGGGCCCGTTGACAAAAGTGAAAACCTCGGCCCGGCCCGTTGACAAGTATGATCTAAGAGCTATCGCGACTATAAAAAGTCTACCTATGCAAAATTAAATTAAATACTTCTTATAAGGCCAACCGTATCAGCTTAATTTGACACGAGGAAACGAACCAAAATTCATTAGATTTGATGCATATTCCTGATTGAAATAGTTTTTTTTTTAAAACTCAAACATTGGCCCTAGAAAACAACAGAAAAATCATACATACATCAGCATATAATCTAGAAAAATCTGTAAGTAATTTCTAATCAGTATGTTCAAATTCTGTATATATTCTTTATAGAATGTCTATACCAACTGTCGATAGTTTGTTGATTGCTTAAATACCAAAACATACACCAAAATGGATTTTGGTAACTATTTTATAAATATAAAATGCATTCAAGTTTAATTTTAGCAGTCAAGCTTAATCAAATATGATAAACAAGATAAAAAGCAGTCGAACGGAATCGATGTGATAGTTTTGTATCCCATTATTTGTCATTGAAAAAAAAACGAATGGATTATCTGAAAGATGACTTTGAGAAATTCCCGACAACTTTTCCTGAATATTATTCGGTCGATTCGTTTCAAGTGCGCGAGAATCACTTCATAATTGCTTCTAAAGGTCATACCAATTTGAATTTGGTGTTCACTGGAGATCAAACTCTGGAATTTGTTTACTCGAGAATGGTACTCAGTCTATATTATTGTGATTCGACTATTCAACCCTGAAGATACTCACTATCCGGTAAAAAGAACTAGTAGTGAGGTTTTTTGACAACTTCCATGGTTTCAACCTTGTAGTTTTTTGTAATAATAGTTGTTGATTTGGGACTAAGTAATAAGTTTCAAAAAAAATGAGTCAACTTTTTTTAAAACAACTATAATCAAAGCTTTTTGTTAGATCAAAGGTAAAGTTTCCTTCCTGATAAATTCCAGCGTTTTTTATATTTTGGCTCAAGTGGTCTCTCCGCGATTATGACGGTTTGTGTGCTTAAAAAAGCTGTAGTTATGTAATTATTTGTTGGATATAAGAAATAAAGAAGTTAGAAGCTTCTAGCTATGTGACTTTATTGTTTATGTGTTTTCGCTTGTAAGTAGTTTATCACATTTCAATTTTGACGACGTTCTACGGGGTCTAATAGTTCTGCCTTAAAACCATTTTAATTTGAGCATGACATATTTCAACCGTTATTAATTGAAGATTAAGATTTTGCAATCAAATCATTTACGACGTTTTCTTTGCCACCATTACAGAATAGAACTCATTATTTTAGAACCAAGCTTTTTGTTTGGAGTTCACGTTTTACTTTTCAAGTGATGGAATTTTCGGTTGAAGTTCCTGAATTCTCGATGAAAATAAACAGCCCGAAAATAAAAGTTCCGATCACACTTGTTGGCCAAAAATTTTTTTTGGCTCTGGTCTAAAGTTTTGCAACCTGGTCTAAGATAATGCAATCAAGATTTTGCAACCACAGCTAGGTTTTATTCTTTTATTTTTTATGAATATGGTTAGAAAATTCTGCACCACGGCTAAAAAACAACAAACAAATTCAACTTAGAACAATTAGTTTTCGATGGTTTTTCCTGACCTGATTTTCTTTTCGGTTGCAACTTTAGCACCAATAATCAATTGAAAAGCATTTATACATCTTATGAAACCACAAATTCTTCTGAACCTTGAGACTTAATGTCGAGGTTAAGATCTGGTTTTCGTGTCCCAGTTTTAAAAATTGGATTTTTTGTTCATTTTCTAGCAAAAAACGCGGTCAATTAACGTTCGTTATATGGAAATTACTTGTTTTTAAAAGAATTTTAGGCTCACAAAAATTGATTTTACTATCAAGAAAACTAGTCTTAGATAGTTTTTTCAACGCTTTTTTTACAAATTAAAAACAAAATGGTTTTATTTTTTATTTTTTATGAATATGGTTGGAAATATCTGCACGAGAGCTAGAAAAGAATTTAAAAAATCAACTCAGAACAATAAGTTTTCGATGGTTTTTCCTGACCTATTTTTTTTGTTGAAACTTTAGCACCACCAATCAATTGAAAAGCATACAAACATCTGTATACAATCTGAATTTAATCTGTATTCAATTTGTATATAAAGTATTCAAAATATGTACATATCCTTGTAAATTGTATATAAAAGTTGTCGATAATTTGAAGATTGTGATTTTGGTACTGATTTTGGTAACCATTTTGTCAAATTAAATTTTCTTGAAGTTTAATTGAAGCAGTCAATGTTAATTAAGTTTGATAAACAAGATAAAACGCAATCGAATACAATCGGTTTGATAGTTTAATTGCGTATTATTTCGTGTTGAAAAAGTCAACTTTTTCCAACTGTATGTTTTACTTGCAATAATAAATTTTTGTTTGTTTATTTTTCTTTGAGCTTGCATCTGAATTGTTTATATTTTATGCTTTGTGTAAACATTGGTTAATGTGAATAATGAGAAAATAGATTTTTACAGTATTCAAATCAATTCAATTTTATAACCCTTTTTTCCTTTCTTCTCCATAAATTTGTTACATTTTAAATTTTTTCAACCACCAAATAACCAGCACATTGATTTATTTTTGTGATTAATTTTGAGGACTTAATTTTCATCTATCGCGGGAACCTTTCAACTGTTATGAAAAGTTCTCTATGAGTAGGGAATGACACTAAAATCATTTTAATTTCAACTCATCTCATTTTTTAATGTTTTTTTTCATGCCTTCTCCATCAGAGTTGTTTTATGATGCACGTTTTAAGTTTCTTAACCACCAAAACATCAGCACCTTGACTCATTCCAAGAATTTACTTTTCATCTACTTTTCAACTAATCTGAAAAGATCTCTATGATATTTTTGTTTGGTGGTAAACTTATCAAATAATCTGAAAAACTCTCTATGGATTTTTTGTTTGGTGATAAAACGTTGTGTCCAGTTGAACCAAAGTGTGACAAGACATCTCATCCTTAGAGATT